TCATTTCCTGCTCTTCTGTGCATGGTCCTATTGTAACCAGAGGATATTCTTGTCATTTCCTGCTCTTCTGTGCATGGTCCTATTGTAACCAGAGGATATTCTTGTCATTTCCTGCTCTTCTGTGCATGGTCCTATTGTAACCAGAGGATATTCTTGTCATTTCCTGCTCTTCTGTGTGTGGGGTCCTATTGTAACCAGAGGATATTCTTGTCATTTCCTGCTCTTCTGCGCATGGTCCTATTGTAACCAGAGGATATTCTTGTCATTTCCTGCTCTTCTGCGCATGGTCCTATTGTAACCAGAGGATATTCTTGTCATTTCCTGCTCTTCTGTGCATGGTCCTATTGTAACCAGAGGATATTCTTGTCATTTCCTGCTCTTCTGTGTGTGTGGTCCTATTGTAACCAGAGGGTATTCTTGTCATTTCCTGCTCTTCTGTGTGTGGGGTCCTATTGTAACCAGAGGGTATTCTTGTCATTTCCTGCTCTTCTGTGTGTGGGGTCCTATTCTAACCAGAAGATATTCTTGTCATTTCCTGTTCTTCTGAGTGTGGTCCTATTGTAACCAGAGGATATTCTTGTCATTTCCTGCTCTTCTGTGCGTGGGGCCCTATTGTAACCAGAGGATATTCTTGTCATTTCCTGCTCTTCTGTGTGTGGGGTCCTATTGTAACCAGAGGATATTCTTGCCATTTCCTGCTCTTCTGTGTGTGGGGTCCTATTGTAACCAGAGGATATTCTTGTCATTTCCTGCTCTTCTGTGCATGGTCCTATTGTAACCAGAGGATATTCTTGTCATTTCCTGCTCTTCTGTGCATGGTCCTATTGTAACCAGAGGATATTCTTGTCATTTCCTGCTCTTCTGTGTGTGGGGTCCTATTGTAACCAGAGGATATTCTTGTCATTTCCTGCTCTTCTGCGCATGGTCCTATTGTAACCAGAGGATATTCTTGTCATTTCCTGCTCTTCTGTGCATGGTCCTATTGTAACCAGAGGATATTCTTGTCATTTCCTGCTCTTCTGCGCATGGTCCTATTGTAACCAGAGGATATTCTTGTCATTTCCTGCTCTTCTGTGTGTGTGGTCCTATTGTAACCAGAGGGTATTCTTGTCATTTCCTGCTCTTCTGTGTGTGGGGTCCTATTGTAACCAGAGGGTATTCTTGTCATTTCCTGCTCTTCTGTGTGTGGGGTCCTATTCTAACCAGAAGATATTCTTGTCATTTCCTGTTCTTCTGAGTGTGGTCCTATTGTAACCAGAGGATATTCTTGTCATTTCCTGCTCTTCTGTGCATGGGGCCCTATTGTAACCAGAGGATATTCTTGTCATTTCCTGCTCTTCTGTGTGTGGGGTCCTATTGTAACCAGAGGATATTCTTGTCATTTCCTGCTCTTCTGTGCATGGTCCTATTGTAACCAGAGGATATTCTTGTCATTTCCTGCTCTTCTGTGCATGGTCCTATTGTAACCAGAGGATATTCTTGTCATTTCCTGCTCTTCTGTGTGTGGGGTCCTATTGTAACCAGAGGATATTCTTGTCATTTCCTGCTCTTCTGCGCATGGTCCTATTGTAACCAGAGGATATTCTTGTCATTTCCTGCTCTTCTGTGCATGGTCCTATTGTAACCAGAGGATATTCTTGTCATTTCCTGCTCTTCTGTGCATGGTCCTATTGTAACCAGAGGATATTCTTGTCATTTCCTGCTCTTCTGTGTGTGTGGTCCTATTGTAACCAGAGGGTATTCTTGTCATTTCCTGCTCTTCTGTGTGTGGGGTCCTATTGTAACCAGAGGGTATTCTTGTCATTTCCTGCTCTTCTGTGTGTGGGGTCCTATTCTAACCAGAAGATATTCTTGTCATTTCCTGTTCTTCTGAGTGTGGTCCTATTGTAACCAGAGGATATTCTTGTCATTTCCTGCTCTTCTGTGCATGGGGCCCTATTGTAACCAGAGGATATTCTTGTCATTTCCTGCTCTTCTGTGTGTGGGGTCCTATTGTAACCAGAGGATATTCTTGTCATTTCCTGCTCTTCTGCGCATGGTCCTATTGTAACCAGAGGATATTCTTGTCATTTCCTGCTCTTCTGTGCATGGTCCTATTGTAACCAGAGGATATTCTTGTCATTTCCTGCTCTTCTGCGCATGGTCCTATTGTAACCAGAGGATATTCTTGTCATTTCCTGCTCTTCTGTGTGTGGGGTCCTATTGTAACCAGAGGATATTCTTGTCATTTCCTGCTCTTCTGTGTGTGGTCCTATTGTAACCAGAGGATATTCTTGTCATTTCCTGCTCTTCTGTGCATGGTCCTATTGTAACCAGAGGATATTCTTGTCATTTCCTGCTCTTCTGTGTGTGGTCCTATTGTAACCAGAGGATATTCTTGTCATTTCCTGCTCTTCTGTGTGTGGGGTCCTATTGTAACCAGAGGGTATTCTTGTCATTTCCTGCTCTTCTGTGTGTGGGGTCCTATTCTAACCAGAAGATATTCTTGTCATTTCCTGTTCTTCTGAGTGTGGTCCTATTGTAACCAGAGGATATTCTTGTCATTTCCTGCTCTTCTGTGCGTGGGGTCCTATTGTAACCAGAGGATATTCTTGTCATTTCCTGCTCTTCTGTGTGTGGGGTCCTATTGTAACCAGAGGATATTCTTGTCATTTCCTGCTCTTCTGTGCATGGTCCTATTGTAACCAGAGGATATTCTTGTCATTTCCTGCTCTTCTGTGTGTGGGTCCTATTGTAACCAGAGGATATTCTTGTCATTTCCTGCTCTTCTGTGCATGGTCCTATTGTAACCAGAGGATATTCTTGTCATTTCCTGCTCTTCTGTGCGATGGTCCTATTGTAACCAGAGGATATTCTTGTCATTTCCTGCTCTTCTGTGTGTGGGGTCCTATTGTAACCAGAGGGTATTCTTGTCATTTCCTGCTCTTCTGTGTGTGGGGTCCTATTCTAACCAGAAGATATTCTTGTCATTTCCTGTTCTTCTGAGTGTGGTCCTATTGTAACCAGAGGATATTCTTGTCATTTCCTGCTCTTCTGTGCATGGGGCCCTATTGTAACCAGAGGATATTCTTGTCATTTCCTGCTCTTCTGTGTGTGGGGTCCTATTGTAACCAGAGGATATTCTTGTCATTTCCTGCTCTTCTGCGCATGGTCCTATTGTAACCAGAGGATATTCTTGTCATTTCCTGCTCTTCTGTGCATGGTCCTATTGTAACCAGAGGATATTCTTGTCATTTCCTGCTCTTCTGCGCATGGTCCTATTGTAACCAGAGGATATTCTTGTCATTTCCTGCTCTTCTGTGTGTGTGGTCCTATTGTAACCAGAGGGTATTCTTGTCATTTCCTGCTCTTCTGTGTGTGGGGTCCTATTGTAACCAGAGGGTATTCTTGTCATTTCCTGCTCTTCTGTGTGTGGGGTCCTATTCTAACCAGAAGATATTCTTGTCATTTCCTGTTCTTCTGAGTGTGGTCCTATTGTAACCAGAGGATATTCTTGTCATTTCCTGCTCTTCTGTGCATGGGGTCCTATTGTAACCAGAGGATATTCTTGTCATTTCCTGCTCTTCTGTGTGTGGGGTCCTATTGTAACCAGAGGATATTCTTGTCATTTCCTGCTCTTCTGTGTGTGGGTCCTATTGTAACCAGAGGATATTCTTGTCATTTCCTGCTCTTCTGTGCATGGTCCTATTGTAACCAGAGGATATTCTTGTCATTTCCTGCTCTTCTGTGCATGGTCCTATTGTAACCAGAGGATATTCTTGTCATTTCCTGCTCTTCTGTGTGTGGGGTCCTATTGTAACCAGAGGGTATTCTTGTCATTTCCTGCTCTTCTGTGCATGGTCCTATTGTAACCAGAGGATATTCTTGTCATTTCCTGCTCTTCTGTGTGTGGGGTCCTATTGTAACCAGAGGGTATTCTTGTCATTTCCTGCTCTTCTGTGTGTGGGGTCCTATTGTAACCAGAGGATATTCTTGTCATTTCCTGCTCTTCTGTGTGTGGGGTCCTATTGTAACCAGAGGATATTCTTGTCATTTCCTGCTCTTCTGTGTGTGGGGTCCTATTGTAACCAGAGGATATTCTTGTCATTTCCTGCTCTTCTGTGTGTGGGGTCCTATTGTAACCAGAGGATATTCTTGTCATTTCCTGCTCTTCTGTGTGTGGGGTCCTATTGTAACCAGAGGATATTCTTGTCATTTCCTGCTCTTCTGTGCATGGTCCTATTGTAACCAGAGGATATTCTTGTCATTTCCTGCTCTTCTGTGTGTGGGGTCCTATTGTAACCAGAGGATATTCTTGTCATTTCCTGCTCTTCTGTGCATGGTCCTATTGTAACCAGAGGATATTCTTGTCATTTCCTGCTCTTCTGTGTGTGTGGTCCTATTGTAACCAGAGGGTATTCTTGTCATTTCCTGCTCTTCTGTGTGTGGGGTCCTATTGTAACCAGAGGGTATTCTTGTCATTTCCTGCTCTTCTGTGTGTGGGGTCCTATTCTAACCAGAAGATATTCTTGTCATTTCCTGTTCTTCTGAGTGTGGTCCTATTGTAACCAGAGGATATTCTTGTCATTTCCTGCTCTTCTGTGCGTGGGGCCCTATTGTAACCAGAGGATATTCTTGTCATTTCCTGCTCTTCTGTGTGTGGGGTCCTATTGTAACCAGAGGATATTCTTGTCATTTCCTGCTCTTCTGTGTGTGGGGTCCTACTCTAACCAGAGGGTATTCTTGTCATTTCCTGCTCTTCTGTGTGTGGGGTCCTATTGTAACCAGAGGATATTCTTGTCATTTCCTGCTCTTCTGTGTGTGGGGTCCTATTTTAACCAGAGGATATTCTTGTCATTTCCTGCTCTTCTGTGTGTGGGGTCCTATTCTAACCAGAGGGTATTCTTGTCATTTCCTGCTCTTCTGAGTGTGGGGTCCTATTGTAACCAGAGGATATTCTTGTCATTTCCTGGTCTTCTAGTAGCAGCAAGCATGGCCACTAGACACCTCAGGTCTAAGGGTTATTTTAGATCTATTTTTATTATTTTTAGTTGTGTATACAGGGGGTTATAGACACATGTGCTTGGATGCCCTCAGAGGTCAGAGGTGACAGGTCCCCTGGAGCTGGAGCTGCAAGCTGTTGTGAGCCATCAGACGTGGATGCTGGGAACCAAATTCAGGTCCTCTGCAAGAGCAAGACATTAGAGTCATCTCTCTGGCTCCCCAGATTTTTTATTTCTCTTTATTCTTGAGAATTCCATAAAGCATACAAAGAAATATGATCATATCTACTCCTCATCTCCTTCTTCCAGGGCCCCCATAACCTTCCAATACATCTTCTCCCAACTTTTTTTTCAGGGGTTTTTTTTTTTTTGATAACCCACTAAGTGCAGTTAGTGCTGCATGGGTGTGGGACTACCCATCGGAGCATGAGAAACCTGCCAGTGGCCACATCCTCCAGGAATAATGATTCCACCTCCTCCAGCAGCTTAAGGGGTGGCATCTGGGGATCATCTACCCTACCTATGACAGAATTTTGGCTGGCTGCTCTTTTGAAGGCAACCACTGCTTCTGTGTGTTCATGAGTTGGCTAGCATTCCACAACATTCCTCCCCATCCTCCAGGTCTCACATTCTTTCAACTCGTCTATGCTCCCTGAGCCATAGGTGGGGAGAAAAGGGTTGACACAGATGTCCTGTCTAGATCTGAACACTTGGTCTCTTTCGTTCAGGGTTTTGTGAGGTCTAAGTTTTCATAGAGACTGATCTAAAACATTAGCCCTCCTGCATCCAGACTCAAATATCATGAAAAGCTATGGTCAGTTGTGCTTGTGTGACATGCTCAGGTCTATAGTCTACAACAGTGTTCAGTGACTGGCATACTGGCATCACAGCCTGTGGTTGATAGCACCGCCTTCACCACCACATAAAGGAGCAGACTCCTATAATCTTAGCACTGGAGAGAGTGAGGAATAAAGATTGCCGTGAGTTCAAAGACAGCCTAGAACACGTAGCAAAACCTTGTCTCAAAAGTAGTAAGTCAGAACCTGGACGTAGTGTTGCCGACTTTTAATGCCCGTACCTGAGAGGCAGAGACAGGCAATTCTCTGTGAATTCAAAGAAAACCTGGTCTACATAAAGAGTTCCAGGACAGCCAGGGCTACACAATGAGAACCCCTCTCTAAATAATTATTAGTGTTTTGTTATTATTATAAAAAGAAAGAGGAAGAAAAGTGGTCTGTATGAGCAAGACTATCCTCAAGCAATCTATTTTATCGAGCTTTCATGAGACATCTTAAAGTATTTAGCATGGCACCTGTCATTTAAGGGTAAACAAATGTGAATGTCATACTGGTCAATGGACATATCGATAGGTAATGACTAGAAATACAGATGAAGATATATTAAAATGTGAAAAATAATGGAAGAGGAAGACTTGTCAAGATTGGTGGGTATATAGACATGAATAGATGGACAGAGGGAAGAAGGAAAGGACCAGAAAAATGCAGACCACAGTTAAATCCATCACATTACATAATCCAAGGCTGAGAAACAGGAAACAGCCTGGCATCCCCTGTAGTCTTCCTATGGGGCTTTCCCCTCTAATCTTTCTGGAGTCTTATAGGACAGTTCTCCAAGGACACTCACCCATCTATAACTTGTTCTGGAGAACAGCCTCAGAATATGCTAGGAATGAACTATCTTGAGCAGACCAGAAACAGTCACCTTTAGTAACAGGAACTATTTCAACACTAGCACAGCAATTGACATCACCTCGGTATAAAAATCCAGAGTGGCTTCCTTTCTAGGGTCCCTCATCTGCTGCACAAGTGCAACACCGGACAAGACACCGTATGTCCTAGGCAAGGGCAGCCCTGGGAGCCTGACTCACAATGAACTCAGGCTTCCATTGTCCCTTTCTATTTGTGAGTCCTTTCATGGAATTATGACCCAACTTTCTCAGTGAGGTCAGACAAGCTGGTAACCAGTGCATCCTGGACCTGCTTCCTGACCTTTTTCATCCCTGCTCCCATTGCTACTCTGTGAGCTGACCAACCTCTCTCCTAAAAATCCCTCAGCGCCCAAGATAGCGAGGGCATGGTGTTTGGGACTATTTTCATCTCTTGATTCCTGGCAGCTATAGAACGTAGAAAATGGATCCACAGAGGAGAGGGGCAGGAATGGTCAGGCCATGGGGGTAAAAATCTTGGCAAAATCAGATTGGATCTGATTTTAAAGAACTTTCTTTTGGCTTTGCTCATCCACAGGAGCTAGACGATGGCTCTGCAGGTCTGCTAGGCAGACCCTGGGGAATCTGAGAGGTGAAAGTCTCGTCTTGCCCTGCTCCTGTGATTGTGTCCCCAGAATGTGAGGGACTTGTCTATCTTCCCTCCAGACGCCACAGATATTAGAACTATAGAGAAGAGGTGTGGTGTCTTAGTTCTTAATTTTTTTTCTGTACCTGTCATAACATACTCTGACAAAAGTAACTTAAGGGAGAAAGGGTTTATTTCAGCTCACAGTTCAAGGTACAGTCTGCTCTTCATGGCTCGGGAAAGCGAAGGCAAGGGCTGCTTACTCTTTTCTCAAACCCTGACGCCACCCTTGAGAATGACAGTTCAAATTCCGTATGAGGTCAGTACTGCATACTTTCCCTAAGGATAACAATGTGCATTCTCTCCTCTCTCTCTCTCTCTCTCTCTCTCTCTCTCTCTCTCTCTCTCTCTCTCTCTCTCTCTCTCTCTCCTCTCTCTCTCCTCTCTCTCGTTTTAAAGATTTATTTTATTAATTTTATTATGTACATTGGTTGGGATTATTTTATTTTTAATTATGAGGGAAAATATGCACATGAGGACTGGTCCCTTGGAGGTCAGAGGTATCAGCTCCCCCTGGAACTGGAACTACAGGTGGTTGTGAGCCACCCAATGTGGGTGCTCGGACTGCACCATACCTCTTATTCAAACTCCTGACTGCTGTCATTGTCAGAACAGAAACCAGGGAGTAAGAAACTAACACACCTACTAAGAAGTTTAAAAGAGACCTCTTCTTCCCCCCAAAGCGTCCACAAGCAGGAAGCGGAATCCACCCAATGAGAAAGTATTGTTCCAAACTCCTCATTCAGTTCCAACAGCAACACCACAAAAAGCATCCGACTCCACGGATTTAAGGGGAAGGTCTCCAAAAGTTCCACTTTAGATGCCTGTTACAAGAAGAGTCCCCAAGACACTATTAACAAGCTAAAAATCTGATATAAGATGGGCACACCACTTCCTGGACATTCAATAGCATTTGACTACATGATTGTGAAAAACATAAAATCACTGTCGCAGCTGGAGAGGAGGGGCGAAGACCCTCTGACCATTAGAAATATTTCCATACCCTAGCTAGCTCTAGGCTGTATTCTCTCTGGTGACCTATTCCTTCTGGCCTGAGGTCATTCAAAACTGGGCTAGAGGGGGAAAAAAAAAGCAATTGATAGGGTCAAAGTCAGGAAAGCGGGGGGGGGGAGCCGCGGGGCAGAGAGAAACTGTAAAGAGAGCCCCGAAGCGCTTTTATTACGGCCTCGTGTCAAGCCTACCAACGTGTGGAACTCTAAAATCTGACTCCGTCCCTAGAGAAGAGGGTCCTGCGTGTCCCGTACCTTAATAAACTCCGACTACGCCTTTAGTGACAACACCCAGGTCCACTACTTTAGAGTAACATTTTGAACCCGCCTCCTCCGACGAAAAACTGGCTCCTCCCCTTCCGGGTGATACGCAAACCACACCCCTAGAGTGCGAAGGTATCCCTGTGATGTAATTGCTAACGGTCCGTTTCCGGGGCGGAGCCAGGGAGGGCGGGGAGTTTAGGCTGTGCCGACCCCTGAGCCCCCCTTCAGGTGACTCTAGCCCCTGAAAATCTCCATCCAGGACCCTAAACGACCGAGCCCCACTGCCGCCAGACCGCTCTCCTTGACGACCCCACGCCCCGGTCCCTAGACAGCCGTCCTTCCAACGCCTTAACTTCCAGTGACTTCCATATCCTCAATCCCATCCTGTCCCGATGTGGCAATCTGCTTGCGGGGGTCCACCTGCCTCAGAGAACCTGAGGACTATTCAGACCCGTCCTGGGATTGATGGAGAAGGGGACTTGCGGCTGGGGATAAGTGTTCCTATCATGCTGCTCCCCAGGAACCGTTCGGAGCCCGGGACATGTCGCGATTGAGGAGATACGAAGTGGCGCTGGAAGCGGAGGAGGAGTGAGTGGAGGCGGGAGTGGCGGAGGAGGCTTATGAGGCCGGGGGTGGGGGAAGGTGCGCGTCCTGGGGCGGGCGGGCGGAGCGGGCCCTCGTGGGGCGTGGGCTGCTGATGGCCAGCCCCTGGGGGCGGGGCTTCCTCGCGGGCTAGGTTCCAGGGGTGGGGTCTGTGGGTCAGCCCCGCCCCTCCGGGTCCGGCTCTGCCTTCTCTTTGCAGGATCTACTGGGGCTGCTTCTACTTTTTTCCTTGGCTGCGAATGTGGCGCAGGGAGCGGAGGTGAGGGGGCTGCGATCTTGCGGGGGCATGACCGAGGTTCTGTGTCGGAGGACGGATGTGGGGGAGTTCAGGAGCCCCTGCCCCGCCTCATGTCATTGTCGGGTCGCCCTACAGCTCGGCGCACCCCCGGGAGCAGAAGCTGGAGCCTCTGCGGGGCCTAATGAGCTGTTTGTCGAGCGGCCTGAGGCCTGCTCCCCAGCGCTCAGGTCGTGGTCTCCTCTGTCGTGCCCCCACCACCGCTGCACAGACAGCCGGTGCATTAAAGATTTAAAGTCACGCCCACTGCCTTCCTGACTTTACCGCCGCAGCCGCCATTGGTGCTGGGAATCCCACTCCACACCTGCTGTTTTCTTACCACAGGGCGTCCCTCCCTGGTAGGGTGCCCTTGCATGTGAAGGCCTCCGTTGCTCCTAAGGGCCCCTAATTATCGTCAGGTTTCCAATTACTATCAGTGACTGGCTCCCTGCCACACCCTCCCCAAAAGCGCCCACACAGTAGGCCACATATTTCCCCACTTATCAATGTTCCCACAACTCCAGCTGTTACCACCGGAACTTTGCCAAGTGTCTGAAGAATCTTCTCTTCCTGGGAGTGGATCTAAAACATTTTAGCCAAAATTACAGAGTCCGCTGTCAGCGACAGGAAGGACCAATTCCTAGAAGCTGCCTCTCGAAGTCTACCTCAGGAGAGCGACAAGGGTTGAGGGCCCAAGAGCTAAAAACCCCAAACTAGCTCCTGCAGTCTGATCCCAGTTTAGTTTTTTGTTTTGTTTTTATTCTTTTTATTACGTGTGTATATGTGTGTGTGTGCCTAGCACAGTCCATGTGTATGCAGAAGTCAGAGAACAGCTTGTGAGAGTCTGTTCTCATTTTCTATCATATGACTTCCAGGGATCCAACTCAGGCCCTCAGGCTTGGCACCACAGCCATCTTGCCAGCCCCTGATCCCAGTTTTAAAGATACTTGGCATCCCTAGAAGAGTCATGCCACCCGTTTTTATCTTGTCAACCCAAATCACTTGGGACCAGCTCTTACATTAGTGAGAGTCATGCTGCTTCCTTTACCCCTACATGGACGCCAAGTCCAGCACCAGGAAAGACACCTGAGGATTAAGTTATGGAGACAGCCTGGATTCTGGCTGAGCCCAGAGCAGACTTTTAGCCTGGCACTGTCTCTGCCATAGTAGATTGTGTTGGGAGAGAAGACCTGGCTTTCATATCTTTGGAGACGCCAAAAAGGAGAGATGGGTACCCAGCCAGGAAAATGTTTCTGCCTTCCAAAGATACCTGGATTGACAAGTCCAGGAGAGCTCACAAATGACAGGCAACTAGCTAACAGAAACCATATAAGACAAAGACAACCTGGGGAATTTCCTCAGAATCTATCTCTGCCTCTCCCTCCCCCTCCCCCTCTCTGTCTCTTTGGTGCTACACCCAAACCTTGGCACAAAGGTTTAGACAAGAAGTAAGAGATACCCTAAAGCCTCAGGTATAAAAATTGAGGGTGAGTGGCCTCTGGGTTATGGTTACTTTCAAATACCTAAAAGTGTGCAAACTTTTAGCCATTTCCTCACAGTGTGTATATCAAAGACCCCTTCAAATGCTTTGTCTGCCCTGAGCCCGCATCTTCCCAGAAGGGTCTTTGGGTCTCACCCTGGACAGGAAGAAACGAGGCTTAGCTTCCCAGCCTCGCTGTAGCAGAACAAGCTGCTCAGATGCAGTGGCAATCCTGTCCCAAGAGTTCTAACTACAGAGGATGGCTGGCCTCCGGGAAATGCAGCATACAGAGAAGGGATGGATTCTTGGGTTATGGCTCAGTTTATATTTCAAATCCAGAACAGGACTTGAAAATTGAAGTCCCCAGATTAGGAGTCTAAGCCATTAATTAACCCAATAAGCATGCCCCACCCACGGCAGTTTACAGCTTTCCAGAAAGAACTGACTCAAGATGAGCAGGGGTTTTGCATGGAAGAGAAGGAAGGGAAAGCAGGACGGGGTGTTGAGAGTTTGGGAGAGTGGGTATTTCTGAACTTGGGTTGGAAGGGGTATGTTCCTTCAAGCCCAGAGTGTAAAGAGGATAGAATTTGAGTCTGATGTCTCCAACAAGCCAGAGACTAAGTCTGGAAACCCCCAGGCTCCCACTGACAAGCTGGCAACCGTGGATCAAGACTAAGAAGAAGCAGGAAGGTAAGATTTGGGAGAGGGGCTTTATCATCTTCTGCTAGTTTTGTGTGTTTGTTTGTTGAGACAGGGTCTCACTATTGTAGCCCAGGCTAGCCTGGAACTCACTGTGTAGACCAGGCTAGCCTCAGACTCTCAGAGATTGATGTGCTTCTGCCTCCCAAGTGCTGGAAATAAAGACACAAGCCTCGATACGCTACCCCATTTCACTGTTTTAACATCAGCAATCCTGTATCAAAAAGCTTTTCTTTCTCCTCATCCACCTCATGTTCCCTCCTCCTCTTTATGGTGGAAATCCCCCCCTTAGCCAAGAAGAGTCTGCTTTGGGTACCCAGTCCCATCAGATTCTCCTGATAAAATAGGCAGGCCAGGGCAGGGAGCAGGGAGGAGAAGATGAAGGCAGATTAGAGCTGGCCTGCCTTCTGTTCCTACCCACTCATAAACTCTTGTGCAGATATGTATGCTGTAGTATGATAGACAGTACAGAGGGATGGCTGTGGAAATGCAAATGTACTGCAGGGGGACTTTTGGGTATAACTGGAACTGTATGATTTTGTCTATGATTATACAGTCATGGGTATGACTTCATGAGGTTATGTGACCAACGTATGACTTATGAATGTGTGGTTATGAGTATGAGTGTAAATGCCTATTAGCAGATGCCCCGGTGGATCGGGGCTGCCCTGAGCTGCTGTAATATCAGCCCCAACATTATTCACTACCTCTCTTCAGGGTTCTCTGTTCAGGGCTTAAGAGCCCATGGGAAAGGGCAGTCCTGGAAAGGGGAAGGGATGGGGTCAGTGGTAACAGGCCAAGAGTTAGAGCTCAGCATCACAAGATAAGCAAGGTATTTGCCACCTGTGTCTGACTCACCTAGTGCCCACGGCAAAATGCAGCTAGATAAAAGGTAGGCAGAGGAGGAGAAAGAAGAGTCTAGGCGGAGCGGCATGGAGGGGCACTCACTCTCCAGCAGCCTCCTGTTGATATCATTGCTCCTGAGCCCAGACCCTGGAGCAGGTAAGCTCTCAGAGGGTATAGAACGATGGGTGAATGGGCTAGAAGGGACGGGGCCCAGAAAGTTCAACTTCCCACTGTCTAGATACTTAGAGAGCAGCTGTGGGTCTAGACCTTTCGGAAGACATGACCCTGTGTTCTACAGCCTTGCCACTGCCCTCCAGCACTACCTGTTGTACTCAGCTCTATAGAAAACCACTCCCAAACAAGCTCCTGAGGAAGATCATCCACGTGGACCTGCAGGAGGCAGATGGGGACTGTCACCTTCAGGCTATTGTGTGAGCTCTGACCCCAACCTTGACACCTCTAACTGACTTTGATCCCAGGCCCAGTGCTAATTCTGATGCTCTTGTTTTTCATCTGGTTCTTGCCCTTGACCCTTGAACCCTACCTAAGCTCACCCCCAGATGCAAGCATACCTTTGGACTTTTCCCTTCCCAGGCTGCACCTGGCTCGGCGCAGTGTTTGCGTTCATCCTCAAAACCACAGCCTGGCTCGGTGGTTTGAGCGCCACGGGAAAAGGCTCCAGGAGACTATATCCAACTTAAATCTGGAACTACAAATGAAAATGTACTCGAGCCCCCAACAGCAAAACTAATAAAACCACACTAGACACTAATCTCCAAAAACTTCTTCAGTCTCTTTATTTCAACTCTTCACAGCCCCCACAAGGGCCAAGGCCATGATCTGCACACTCTCCAAGCATCTATATACACACATACAGAGAATGCATGTCCCTTATCTCACATAGGCACAGTCACAGATGGACACAGACATGCACATCTATACACATTCTGTGGGTGGACTTCCACCTCAAGGATGACATCAGAAGTCCAGACAGCACTCAGCTGGCAGCAATTTTGGAGTATAGGGTCTCAAAGAAAAGGACTTCAAACTTGCAACTGAGACCTCCATCCATGGGGCTCCACTGCCCTGCCCCTTTCTGTCTGTCCATTTAATCATCCGCCCTGACAGGGTAACAGGTGGGATCAGCTGAAGTCCTCCTGGGTCCTCTGCAGGTTTGGAATGCCTAGAAGAGCAGGGAGCAATCAACAGATGGCAGCAGCACTGGGTCCTGACATCCTGACAACAAAAGGGGACATTCCCAAACCAAACACTCGAGGAGGGGCACAGGGGCCTAACACACAGCTCTGGGCCTAGGAGGTGAGAGGGCGGGGCAAGATGCCCAGTGAGGAAAGCGTGTGCCACGCATGCAAACCTAATGACTTGAGTTCAATAGCCGGGACCCACGTAAAGGTAGACGGAGAGGATGCACAAGGTTGTCGTCTGACCTCCACACATGCCATGGCACATATGTGCCTGCATACACATAGCACACACACATATAACACCGTAATAATAAAATTTAACTTTTCAAATCAAAGATGAGCAAGACATTTAATGGGGAAGGGGAGATAGACAGTTCTCGTGCCTTGAAAGTGAAAGGAGCTACCTGGAATTCTCAATCCTCAAGAGGGAAAGAGACCCATTTCTGAGACCAGACACTCAACAACAAAAGGTCTACCCCTCCACCCCCTCACCTAGATAGAAAAACGAGGAGCCCCAACTCCAGTGGTTCCTAGTACCCATGGAATCCCTAGGGCATCAGGTTTAGTGGGGGCATCCACACATCACTAACTGCTACTCACCTGGAAGCTTGTCCACCGGGATCATTGGTGCCAAGAACCCAGGTTTCTGAGGTCCATCCTTGCCACCCCGTCTCAGCCTCAGCCTGAAGCATAAAAGGGCATTTGTCTCCCCAACACCATGTCTTCTCCAAGAGGACTTAGTAGCAAGAGGTGAGGAATTAGTGAAAATAGTGAGGGAGAGGACAGTCGGGGGGAAGGGGGGGAGAAGCGGTTCCAAAATCAGGTTCAGCAGCCATCAGTAGGAGGTCTTGTGGGTGGGAATGGATGTGGTCTCTGGGCATCAAAGCAGCTGTTGCGGGTTACAGCTAAGCGACCAGTGGCACTCACTTACCAAAGCCCCAGTGCCAAGGCTCCAACAGCCAGGCCAAGAAAAGAGAAGATTCCCAAAGATGCTAACACAGCCACTTGCTCCAAGGGATCTCTGTGATCTGAGGAAGAAGGCCATGTGTCACTGGGAGAGCAATGTTAGCCATGCTTGGTGATACCTTCTCTCTCAGACTTTCATCCCACACACCTTTACCAATCGGCCCACACGTACCAAGCGGCCTCGGGTCTGACTGCAGGGAAGGCTTTGGAGGAGTGGGACCATCCTCCTGGGCTACTGCCTCTGGCTGCTCTTTGTCTGCCTGGCTCTCATCAGCTAGCTCGGTCTGCAGGGGACCTGCCGGAAGATGAAACCTGAGACATGTTCCCAGAAGCTTCTGCCTTCCTGAGGCAGGGGCAGGACTGGAACCTGTTTGGGGTGGGGGCCTAAGAGGCATTTTCTAGGGGTCTGGCTTGTAGATTTGCAGACGTACAGTCTCTAAGTGCAGAAGTAGAGACTCGGGCTAAGTTAGGGTAGGGCTGCAGGTCACCAAGGCTGTAGCGTACAACGGCAGCAGTGCCTGAAGGGCCTGGCGAGGGGATGTGTGAGACCCGCTAGCGGATAGCTGCCTTGGGCTAAGGGCTCTGCCCTTTTCTTGTCTCTCACCAGTACTAGGAGTACCCCAGGCCTCTGGGCTCCAGGCACTCCAGGTGCCAGCATCCAGGAAGTCCCTGGCACTGACTCGTACCACATGGGGCAGTCCAGCCACGGCATCTGTTATCACCTCCTCCAAGCCAATTGGTTCGACCTGGAGGTAAAAATGGTTTCTCAGGGTGTGGCCCCAGTTGTAAGTAGAGAACCTGCCCATCCCCAGCCAGAAAAGAGTACCCCTTTTTCACACTGCCACCCTTACCCACCTGGTAGAGGGTCCCATGCTGGGTGCCTGACGGGACAGAATCTACGTCTGGGATTTGGAAAGTGGAAACCGGTAGTAGTTGCTTAGAGGGACTATTGTGTCAGCCTATCTTCCGAACTTTGTTAACCCACTTGCTGAGTGGACTTTGAGCCTCTCTGTGTCTCAATTTCATTTGTAAAACAGGGGTAAATATGCCTAACAGAGATAACATGTAAAATGTGTAGCAAGATGCCTGCAGGCAGACAGCTCTGAATGCAGATTATGAACAAGTGGGGCTGCTTCCAGGACAAATGCCAACCTATCCTTGACATTTCTGTGTGTGGAAATTCACTATTTTCAGCTTTTCATAGGAGGGTCCTCTGGGTAAAAGATACCCCCCTTTCCTAGAAGTTATTATTATCTGGTGTGCGTGCATGCATGTGTGAATGTGTGTGTGTGTGTGTGTGTGTGTGTGTGTGTGTGCGCGCGCGCTTGCGTAGTTGTCAGAGGACAAACTCACGAGTAAGTCTTTTGCCTTCTGTATTGTTTGAAACATTCTCAGCTGCACAGCCAGGTTGGCTGGCCTTCCCATGAACTTCCTGGGATTCTCCTGTCTTTGCTTTCCATCTTGCCATGGGATCACTCAGGTTACAAACTACACTGCCTCACCAGGCTTATTTGGTTCTGAGGGTTCAAACTCAGGTCTTCATGCTCGCACAGCAACTGTTTTACACAGTGAGCCATGTCCCAGTGTCTATAAGTGATTTTCTAAAGCCATTTCTGTCTTCACTGACAGGCTTGCATAATAGCTGGTTACCCAGGACAGAAGGCGCCCCCCCCTTCTCTGAGAATTTGTCAGAACTTCCCTCCCTGCTCGACACCTGGGAACACTATATGGGGGAGGGAGGTGGAATCAGGTTTTCTGAGACCTGCCAATGCTTGGAAGCTATGTAGAATATTCAAGATCTTAAAATCAGAGACAGAACTGGAAGATCAAGATTGAGACACACTGCAGACCTCACCGTGGACCAGGCTGGGTGCCGCGCTGGACGGTATTGTAACCGGAACTTGAGCAGGAAGTGGGGCTGGCGGCGCCAGGAGGCAGGGTATGTCCAGCTGGCATGCAGGCGCCTTGGGTAACCAGGTACTGATTCCACCCGCAGTCCCTGGGGTGGATCAGGACGCACTAAGGGTAGCCAGACACAAAGTTCAGGGTAAGTGACAAGTACTCATCGCTTCCTTGAATTGTGTGCAGTGTGTGTGTGGTGTTTGCGTAAAGGGGCTTTAGTCAGATACTCCCAGGAAGGAGGGAAAAATGTCAAATTCAGTCATTCGTTTAGCCTCAGGACCTGTCTGTCATCCTTGTTATAAAATAAGCAGCAATCCATAGCAGAATTTTGATAACTTTGAGTGATAAAAGGGTTCTTCTCTTCACCCACAGAAGATGCATTGGCTCAAATTATAACCTAAGTTTTATTGCCTTCTCCCCTCCCACACTCAGATCAAGAAGAAAAAGGGACCAGCAAGCCTCTCCCCTGGGCAGGAAGAGCATGAGACTGGGCTGCCTTCAGCATAGGGCCTAGAAGCAGGAGTCAGCTAGGCAGCCAAGAAGGACTTGTAGGTAGTGGTAGCAGCCTCTGAACTAATGGTTCTCAACTTTCCCAATGCTGTGACCCTTTAATATAGTTCCTCATGCTGTGGTGACCCCCAAACATAAAATTATTTTCATTGCTACTTCATATCTGTAATTTCACTACTGCTATGATTCATAATGTAAATATCTGATATGTAGGATATCTGATATATGGCTCCCAACTGAGTCACGACCCACAGGCTGAGAACCACTGCTCTGGCAGTGTATAGAGCCCATCCCTGTTACTACTTGGTCTTTACGTATGAAAAGGAGAGGACCAGTTGGAAGTTGGGGCAAGCAGGGTGTAAGTCTATTTAGAGTCCCTGTGATGGGAATCTGGGAGGAGGCCTGGTGGTGTACTCACAGATACTCTGTAGTCTCACATCCAGGAGGCACGTGCTGGCACCCAGTGGGTTCACCTCAGTCACATTGATCCGGTACTCACTCCAGAACTCTGCCCCATGGACCACACATCGGGAAGCCTCTAGAGGGTCCTGTGGGCATGGCCAAGGCCCTGTGGATACACTTTCCCTAGGAAGGAGGATATGGTCTTGGGTTTTGCAAACAGATCACAAGTTAGAGTCCCCAGTGTCTCTGTCTCTCATGTCCTACCTCTGACTCTCAGCTCCTGGCAGGGTCTTCTTCCTGATAGAAAGGGTACCATCTGAGGTCAAGAGGGAAAGAGGCACCCCCCTTCTCTGAGAATTCGTCAGAACTTCCCTCCCTGCCTGCCACACCCATATCTTGCTAGCACACCCAGCTGCACAGGTACACATACTAAACACACACACTCACACACTCACACTCACACACACACTCACACACACTCACTCACACACATACTCACACACACTCACACACACTCACACTCACACACACTCACTCACACACACTCACATACCTGTAGGAAGTAAGGTAGCGGGTGGGCAAACCGCTGACCCGGCTGGGACTCCAAGTACAGGAGAAGTTTTCATAGTCTACTGCTTGGCAGGAAACCTCTGGACGAGCTGGGGGAACTGGAGGCAGAGGGGATAGCTGGAGACTGAGGCAGCCCCATCTCCTCCCTATCCCAGAGGGCTTGCTCCGGTCCCCTTGGGAATCCAATGGCTCCACACTGCCACCTTCCCTAACCCTAACT